CTAGATACAGGTCGAATAATTTTTGCAGTCCAGATGGCACATTCGTAAAGATACTGTCACAACGTCAAGCCAATCCCTACCGCCCAAAATGATTGAAGTACAGTTCAAAAAGTGGTCTGACCGTCTTTCTAGCCAAAATCGTGAGGATTGCGTTTATGATTTCTGTCTAGTGCAATAATGCCTCATTTTGCCAGCCTTTTACCGTGCGTACATCGACCGGTCATCATTTGATTGCTGTAAGATGTATGCCTAGTCGCCCGTCATATGGCTTGCGTATGAGGAAACAGGTAAGTCATACGTGTTTACTGTACAAAAGTCACCAAATTTTAACATTTGGACTGCAAATATAGGGATGAAACATTCAAACAGTACCTAACAGATAGACGAAACTCCACTCTTACGAGTTCCACATATTCCGAAAATAGTACACATTTGATTTGAGGTGGTGATCTTCACTCAGCCAAACTCATCAGATCTTGGAAGCTTTCTACAACCGAGATATGTCAACTTGCCGCAGTTCGCCGAAATATTCGAAATGGATGTCTATGGTTTTGATTATTCGGGGTATGTTTGAACTTAAGTGGTAGTCCACTAGGGCTTCAAGGTTGAATAAGTCATAAGCAGCAAATATGATAAGGGCAAAAAGGCACAACGGCTGGGTTCGGCATGACCATAGCCCGTTTTCCACCAAACGTTGGAGAGGCAAGCGACAGCAACTGGACGAAATCGGGCTACCGACCAACGTACCTTGGCCTGCTACCCACCCTAACGTCTCAGCGAAAACCGCTATTCAGAAGGGCTGAAAATCTGTTGACAAACCGTTCCTTTATGCTCAACTTCCCCCTCCCCCCCCCAGATCCATTCACTTAAAATTTTCTGATATGTTACCACGCAATGCTGCGAATAAAGCGAAAAGTTTTCATCACATCACATGCGGCACGCTGATTCTTATCACTAGATGCGGCTGAGGACTTTAAAAGCGTTGTGCAGCGTTCAGACTCCGCAACGCGATCGATCTCGCCGCCTAGCGACGCGATTGATCGTGTTGCTAGTGGTGGCGACCGCTTGTGTAGAGGACTGATTCGATCGCGCTCCAATGCAAAAATCAACTCGACGAATGCTATTCACGGTTACT